TGTGTGATATTAATCATTTCAGTGTGTGATATTAATCAATTCAGTGTGTCAACGTGTGTTAAAATTGATCTGGTTCTTCACTCTTAGGTCCAAGTTGAGCTTCAGCAAATGGAGTTTATAACCAAGTATCCAGTCCACATGCAACGGAGTTTGATCCGTGCTGGGGCGTTTGAGAGTTATGAAACGGGCCGAGTTATCATCCGACACGGTCGGCGACCTTATGCATTTTATCTCGTTCTGGGAGGCTCAGGTATAACCTCGATTCATTCCATGACGCAACGGAAATACATGTACTTTTCCTGTCTACCCCAGGACTTAATTTCAAACTATCAAAGGGGCAATAAATGAGTACAAATTTTAAAGGAACATTTATGCACTTCAAGCCTGGATAAAATTATGCATGTGAAGTCCCCCTGGTGTTGGAATCAAATGTGATGTTTGGAAATGGATTCTATCTTACATTTATCATCGGTCTTGGATGTAGACAAACAAATTCCCAAACATAGAATTTTGTATCCACAATGATTTCGTATATTGTTAAACTGTTTATCGTCATGATACCATTTAATCGTTTAAATAATGTTTATTTCTCGTTTTGATCCTTTGATTTATCACACAGCTCTTCTGCTTGAAGGAGATCCACAAAATAGCGGCAGGCCTGCCGCTGCCTTGCTAAAAGGACACGTATTCGGGGTGCGTTTATCATGTTGAAAAATTCTTGGAACACCCTCGTGACCAGCATTCATCCAATCACAAGCGATGATCAGCTCTTCCCATGTCAAATTGTGGCCTATGCAAAATCAATTAAGCTGCGCCTTTTTAAAAATATACAGTGAAAATTGTAACCAAAGACTGTTGAGATATGCGTGTACTTTTTATTTGTGTTTGATCTATCTCTCTTTTTCAGCATGAAGCAATAATAAACAGAGGTCGTCACAATGTCACTGTCATATCAAAAGAGTACATTGAACTGTTAAGTCTCACAGCCGAGGTATGTTGATTTATGCGAATAGAATTACCTTTTACTAGGGCTTTGATTGCTATCTTTGTGGTCTACTTGACCTGTTTCAAATCGCTTGGTATAGTCAAAAGAATTATAGACAGAGATTATTGTTGGTCTAAACAGTGAATATGCGTAAACAGAATAATTTGTGCGAAGTTTTAGAACAAAATTTACCTTGGGTATATGCCTGTCGGTAAACACATCGTATGGCATAGCGTCACTGGTGGTTCTGCATGTGTGGAAACATTTGAAACACTTATGCTTTTAGTATTTCCGAATAAATAATCGCAATCAGTATGATAATTCCCCTAAAATCAGTCCAACGCTTTGCCAAACATCAAACAGAATTCTTGTTATACCTTTCCCACTTGAAGAATAAATGGAAATCCTTGATCGTATTTGCACTATTTGATCATGGACACAACTTATACTGCATGGTCCTGTGGCATATGAGCCTTACCTGAGCTTAAATATCTTATTCAATTCATTTTTTCGATGTGAAATCAAAGGAATATTCCCGGATATTCTTGGCGGGTGGCGTGAGCAACATTAGCGGTATAGATGGCAGCTGTTTCATCGAATCAGTTAGCATCTTCAAAGGATGGCCCCTACATCTTCTTAAGAAACATCCCAAAAAGTGCAGGTTCAATTTCTTCACGTGAGTTTGGCTGATCAGACGAAATTTCCTTGAAGACTTGATTCTTGCTTGAACCCTCAAAAGAATGATTAAACTATTCTAGAGTAGTTTGTGACAATTTTAAGATAGAGGCGATACCAGTTAAGATGATAACAATTCGTGGAGATGTGTTTTTATGTTCATCTGTTATCGAAATATAGGAAAGAAAGATAGACCAAGTTAAGTAATTTCCTATTCCCCATCGGCACTTAAAGACGTTCCGGTAACTTGTCTTGCATGTTGCTATTTATCAAATAGGAGAGGCATAGTTATCGAACAGGATAGCAGCCGAAGTGATTGGATCTACATCATCAAATCAGTGAGTAATTTGGCAGTTGGCCCCTACTTGTTTCTATGCCAAATAATTTAACTCTAACGAGGACTTGAGCGTGTGTTTTCAGTCTGAAATATTTTATCACGGCGATGTTTATTATACCGATGTTCTCCAGCATTTTATGTCAATTTCTCAGACCTAATGGTTCAGTTCAGAGACAATATTGCAATCATCTGACTAGAAGTTTGGGATAAAATGCACTGTGAAAAGACTAGTTTTCCGGAGGAGTAATATTGCTTTGACTTTCTTCTTGAACAGGGTAGTTGTGCTGTCTTGAAGAAACTTCACTACGGGGAACCATTGTCAGCCAAAAGGAAACGAAATCTTCCAGGTAAGTGGACCATACCAGTGTAAATCACTCTAATTTTTAGCCAGAGAACTGGCCTGTCAAATTGTTGAGGAGAATGGGGATGACGTGTATTGTTACAAATATCGAAGTATAGTTGCATGTAATTTTTTCAATGTTTAGTTGAAATTTCAACTATGCAGTAAAGCATCATGTAACAACACGAGCTTTTCAGTGACCTCACCATTTCGTCAGATTGAACTGGATTGATTTCCTCAACTACCCTGTGCATAGCGATTTCACTGCGAAGAGGAGCATCACTGTCATTGAGTCATGAAGAGCAGCTAGCCAACAGACTAAGAGATATGCAAAAAAAGCGCGCAAAAGCTCTCAAGGGTAAGTCACGACGTCTTAAAGATACACGACCTACGAATATCGTGAGGATACCCATGATGGAAGACTCACTGTCGACTGATCTCCTTGGTCATGAACTATCCACTTTGGATCAAAAACCATCACTGCCGAATGTGAACCAGTGCGACATCCTGCCTGCTATCGTGATCTCCCACTCCAGTCGTCCTGCTAGCTCGTCGTCTCAAGTGCTTTATGATTCAATGGAGCACGGCCCGGAGTCACCGCATTCACCAGCAGATGGAGAGATCAAGCCGGTATTTTCTGGATTTTCACGGGTAGGGCTGATTCCACTCTCTTTTGTAAAATTTTTTCTTCAAGGCACTGCTTGTTGAATAAACTTTGTTTTGGAAATTGAGGCAATTAAGAGAACAACTCTTTCCAAATCTCTGCAAACATTTTTGAGACGATCTGTAGGCGTATTTGCAGAAATTTAGAGAATGCCCTGACAGGACTTTGTGACTTGTACCTGCTTTCATGAAGGAGATCATCAGCCTGAAGAATATACTTGTTTTATCATGCCTGATGGCATCAGGCATGATAAAACAAGTATATTCTTCTTGTGTACTATATTGTGCAAAAAGTATGTGAATTAGAAATTTTCTGCTACTGATTATTATGTGACCACTTGCCAGGCGAAAAGAGAAAAGGCCTAGTATGCTTCACATGATGACATTTAAGCACAAGGGGCGAGTTTTTTCAAGGGACAGTAAAATTATTTTTCTGTGTTATCCTTGTGACCTTATGGCGGGTAATATGTTGCATGTTGGACTTTCTTCATGCTTTGCAGTAGAAGAGAATTGAAATAGTCGCTTCTCCGTCTTCACATTTACAAAAATGTCTTTTGAGGGAATGGGGACCATGTCCCTTGGTGGGGCGGGCGAATGGGGACCATGTTCCCTTTGGGGGAATGGGGACCATGTTCCTTCTTTGATTTGTCCATATTTCAGTAAACATTTCAGATTAAGTGTGGTCTAGTGGTGTGAGTAAAGTTAAGGTAGACTTGTCATAGCTAAGAGTGACAGATTGCCGAGTGCGAGATCACAGTTCTGTTTTTATGCCTTGACGTCATACAAAGATTAAAAAAAAGAGGAAAATACAGATATCTGATATAATACAAGTAAGATGTGTCAGTCTTACTGACATGTTTTTCGGAACATCCCGACTGCAAACTAACAACCTGCTTTAACTTGTCTTTTGTGTTCCAGGGTCCGTTTTTAACTCACACGAAACACCTTCCTAAAATCAGCGAGGGAGGACAGTCTGGGGAGACGCCACACCACGAAACCGATTCAATCACAGACCTCGAGAAAAGTAAGAGAAAACATCCTGAAGTATATCAGACATCAATACAGTACAATTTTAGAGTATTCACGTATTGACTGTCCTTTGAATCAGGAAAAGAAAGAAGTTGGGCTTTTCCTCTGTTTTGATTGCAGGATCAGTTTGACATAGGGCAAAAGGGAATTTTGCATAATCCTGCCAAAACGGTTCAATTTGTTTTTCCAAACTGATAACAAATGACTACGTCAGAAGGTTTCCGAGGAGGCTTTTGAATTTTGCTATGTTTATTTTATTACAGATAGAGCGCCCTCAAGCCACTCCAGTGATTCAGTCCAGTCATATTCCCACCTTGAAACCCAAGCCCATCCCAATCCATCATATCAGCTGGATGATGGGCTAACCAACGACGAACAGGTTATTATCATCATTGGCTATTAATACATATAATTTGTTTTTCATTTTAGGTAAAAAAGTTGCAATCTGGAGCTTTGTTGATGCTATGACCTCAACTACATCGCTAAATTGTATTTGATAGCAGTCAAGGAAATGGTTCATTCAACGGACATTTTCGTTGAATGGAAATTAGTTTCAACGTAACTGGTGTGTTTGCAGTAATTTTTTAACATGTGGAATTTTTCTCTGTATATTGTCTACAGTTTGCAAAGACCACCAACATTGGGAGAGATACCTTTGTACAAATAGATGTATTGGAATCGGGAGCAATTTTCGTAAGTATAACAAATACCGCTTTCTATAGTTTGGGGGTACTGGTTGGAGATGCTTTCAAGTAAGATGTATAGGCATTGGCTTCCTGTGGGAGATTCATGTAAGATCAAAACAAAAGAAATCACAATCAATTTTCCTGTGTTGTACCCTTGTATGTTTTGAAAAAGTTGAGCTTTCTTTAGGTTGAATATTTTGACTATACAAAAGCTTGATCAATAAGTAGGACAGTTCTACAAAAGTTTTGCTTAAATGTACGCTGCATGTACCTTCAGCAAAAGTTAGGGAATATAGTTTAAAACCTCTCTACAAATGTACTTTTAATTCATGTGTGCAGGGAGTCTCTGATTTGGTTTTTGGCAAGCAACCTGGTCTTTGCCTTGTCAGTAATGGAGCAGAATGTATCATGGTAGCCAAGAAGTTCTATGCTAAACATGCCACAGAGGCAAACTTAAAAGCCATCACAGATCATGTAAGTGGCGTTTATTTAGTCTGCACCACTGGTTTGTACAGGCTTTTACTCATTGCTCTCTGTGTACAATAACAATAATGAAATAATATGTTGTGAACGCTATGTGACGTTTTCCGAGTGAACAGATCACTGCTACATTCGTTTTAATTAAAGCCATTTTCCTCTTTTGACCTAGATTACTTTTATTTACATGATTATGATTAGATTGTTCTAGTTAGGCGCATAATCTGAAATAGAAAATATTGTGGCCACCTCAAACTACATTAGAGTCCATTCAAAAAGCTTTTTTTGGCTGTGTGATAGAAAAAGGAGTTTTTTTCAGAACACCAACGGTGAAAGTTTTACTTAAAATAAAAAATAACTATGATTATCACGTTAACTAAGGTGTAGGGGCCTACATCAGACTTTAAAATTGGATGAAATATGGTCCAAGAAATGTAGTTGTGAGCAAATAACTAATAATTATCAAATCACAGTCATAATTAGGCTCACATAAGTCACTGTTATTAACATGGTTGTTTATCACTTTCCTCTCTCAGCTTCGCCCCTACCCTACTGAGGACACTCTCCTTCGAGACCTGCGGGAGAAGTTGACTTGGCAGGATCATCGGACTAAGACGCTATCTGACACAGCGCACAACTTGAGACGTCAAAGAAGAGAGAGCCTTGCTGGAGTTGGTCTACCGAGACCACAAGCTGCAATAAGCATGAACATCGGACCATAAGCTGCTAAATTGCTTACAATCATACTGATTGGCCAAAATTGTCTGAAGTGGTTGTTTTGATTCAGCGATCTATTGACCAGACAATTATTTTAGCAGAAATATCATGTGTCATATCCAAATTAAGACTTGACATTCAAACTTGCCCGAATTACTTATACATGTACAACAACCCGGAATGCTATGTGGCATTAATATTTTGAGTTGATCGTGATATAAAAATCATGAAGTTACATTGTACCTTACAAGACTTATCCAAAGTACGCTTTCCCAAATTATCTCCAATAAGATTAAGTTTGGCATTGAGAATGGAAGAAGTAAACATGTTTACGACGTACGCGTAGTAAACGAATTGACTGCATAAGAAGTATACAAGGACTTTAACGAGAAATAATACAATTCCACTTTTGTCGCTATACCCTGAAAGTGACAGGGAACTGCATATAAAATTCATTACCGTGATAAGAAGAGAGGGTTATTTTCCGTAGATGTCAGAAAGTTCTGTCTCTATCTTTGTTGCCAATTCATCAATTTTGTAGAAAGGTACTTCTTCTCGAAGTTGTACAAGTGCTTCAGCGCGAGATTCATCATCATCGTCGGCGACATCAAAAGATCCATCCTGAATGAATTGCCACAGGTAACGAAAGCTCTCAGCATTTCTTCTATAAATCGTGAACACATTACGACTTGGGTTTGACTCGGAACGATACTTAACCATTTGAGCCAAGAACGACTTGACAAACGTTTTGTTCCCCATCAGGGTTGAACGACTTTCTGAAAAACACTTTCCTTCAACTATGATGTAAATCCTTGCAGGATCAAAATCTGGCCGATTGTTTATCACAGCTTCGGAAAGGCGCCAGTTCTGGTAGAACGCAGCCTCTGATTCCAGCAGACCAATGTCTTTGAAACCCTTCGGCAGGTCTAGTCGATCATGACGCATAAAACCAAGCACGTAGCGGAAGAGTGGCCCATCTGCGTCAATTAAAAAGTTCCCCTCCTTGTCTTTTGCACATCTCTGATTGAAGTTGCCGCTGAACATACGTCCTAGTCTAGATTCCAAGTCGCTCCGCAGTGTACTCAAGGTGGTAAAGTAAACCTGCCCGCCTACATTCAGACCTATAAATGTAGATTGTTGGCAACTTTCCATGCTCAGAAATAGCAACTTGCAGATCACAGATTCCAATATGCACGCGTACATACACCTGTGAAGTTTAGGTGATAAGCATAGAGGAAGTCGATTGTGAAAGCTGCCAACAAGGATGAGGTGTATAGCCTGTTGAACTTTGACCCTCCTGACCGGTATCGTCTGTTTTGGTTTCCTTGTTCAGACCAATTAAAATGCTTAACATTAAGAAAACAAACTCGACCCGAATGGCTGTTATGTGCTCACTGTATATAACTCGCTATTTAAGTTCACATCCTCTTTTCAATTTGCCAAGGACATCGAAATTCCGGTTTTTTTTCCACTCTGTGACGGGAGTTCTTGTGGAAGTTGAGCAGTACATGTACGTGTTTTCAATTTGAAACTTTTTATTTAATAAAAGTAGATAAAAAGCAAAAGTCATTGTTCTGAGAGTTCTTTGAATTTTATTTACTAGGCTCGTTCAAGAATGTCATTGGCATTTATAAGCCTAATACACCACAGAATATATCTGTGAATTAAACTTTTATACTTTATTATTATTTTTAATTTTATTCTCGCCATCTTTGTGCATTTTGTCTTTGTATGATTAAAGTTTTTTTTGGAGTTAACTGTGAGAGTCCTGTAGCTTGTAAGGGGAATCAGCGGCATCCACTTTATAAAGAAATAAACTTTTTTAGCTACACAGATTTGAAGTGTATCAATATTTCTTATGAAAAAAAGAAATTGCATTTCAGTATACATTTTCTTATCAAATTCAATATGAACTCTCAAAACCAGTAAACCCGTCCTCAGTCAGGACCTGCTCTTCTTTTCCCGTCAGGGCGGGATAGAAGATAGAGATACAGTTAGAATATTCCTCGTGGTTTTCCAGTATGTGACGGTCATGATCATTTAAAAGGACGTTGGTGCCATTCCCTGCATCCACCTTAGAGCTATGGTTTACCCAGGTACCACTGGTATCCTGCCATTTGTAGGTGACTCGCCCAGAGGTGTAGTACACACTTTCTGTGTGGTGTTGATGGGCCAATTTAGAAGACGTTACAGGGTTTAATCGCGTTTTGCTGATACCCAGAGGAAGCCCGTCTGGTTTGAGGAGGTATTGCCAACTGTGGCCGTTTCCCCAGTCGACATCTCTTTCAGTACCATCAATTTCTGCTAAGCTTCGCACAACTGCCAAAGAGGTATAAACCAACTCATTGTCTGGATAGTAGACTACGAACACACGCATGGGGCCCTCTGCTGACACTGTCAATTCGTAGATCACATCGGAGGACAGTGCTATCACAGTATCAGGGCAAATATCCCGCTTTTCCCCACCAGCGCTAGCTTGAAACTTCCCCCTTCCGCTAATGCAGTAGTAGAAATGAAGGCTTCTCTTGTTGTCAGGTGATCTGAAGGGAACAGTGGAATTGGCCTGGACACGTGCCTCATATATAGTGAAGTCACTGAAGTCTTTCTCAGTGGTCAGCTGGACTCCGCTGAGTGCGCTGTTTGGAAGGGTACTTTCGGGAAAATCGACAGAATGTGTAATCAGCATGTTTAAAGATAAGCTGAAGGAAAAAAAAGGACAAAAAGTGAAAATAAGATAACTAATTCACAATCATGTCTGTGCATTTACTAAAAAAGAATTGCCACGATGATACATGTATAGTGTCAATACCATATTTAAATTATACATCTCCATACTACAGAAAAAGTGTAGTATCAAATTGCTTCAGGTTAGTGATATTTTGAATACCTTGAAATACAATTCTCCTTGTTAACTTACCTCTCTGACCTCAGCATACAAAATGTAAAAAGGAATCCTGCATTTATGTTGGTCAAAGGCAGTCTACGAGCCCAAAGCTAGCTGAATTTAATGCGTAGGTAAACCAATAATTATGGCAGACACCAAAATATGCCTCCGTACGAGGTCTATTCAGTTCAACTAATACTGACTTCGTACGTGAAAAGGGCCAAGGTTCAGTTTCATTGTAACAAAGGTCAAAACTCTGTTTGCCTAACTTAATATAGTTGGGTTTTATTCTTATTTTTCGAGGCAAGGCATGCTAACAATGCCGTTCAAAACGTGTAGATTCTTTTATTTGAATAGGCGAGGACGCGAAGCGTCCAAGCCCAACGCCTCCTCGCCCATTGGAATCAAACAATTTCCACATTTTGAGTCGTTTCTCTGATTTACACCACGTTTCCCTTTACTATTGTTGCATGATAGAAGAACTTTTTTACTATGCTTTGAGCCGAGATGAATTCCATCCATTATCCATCTTTGGACCCCTGTGTAAATCTGCGTGTACATAAAAGTCTCACTTTTGGCCCAAGTAGTTAAATTGTATAACTCTTCGCCTAGCTGCACAACTGTTTTTTTTTATTCTCTTGCAAGCAAGATGCGTGCTTACCAAGTCATACACATGCAGTCAGCAACCATCGGTGGATCGTAGGGCGCACAAGTTAAGTTATCAAATGCTACCGCTATGACTTGTGGACTTTTTATTTTATTTTCTAAGTAACAAAAACTCAAACTCCCTGTTTTTCACACTTTTTACCCAAAAGGAGGTTGCTGATTGTATAAGCAAATTTCCTTCTGGGAAGGTGCCTGGTTGTGATGATCTAAGTCCCTGTGTCATCAAGCAGGCAAGGAACGCACTTGCTAAGACCTTGGCTGATATCTTTATCAAGGTTCTCACAGCTAGAGTGTTTCCTGATTGTCTACGAAAAGCCAAAGTAATACCGATTTACAAAAAAGGTTGTAAGCACGATGTAACTAATTATAGACCTATTTCTGTCCTATCTACATTTTCAAAATTGTTTGAAAAGCTTATTTATCAGAGATTATTATCTTTCTTCACACGACATTTTTTTCTGAATCACAAAATTGGCGATATTATATGTTCTTAGTAATGTAATGCGATTGACAAACAGAACTTCTCCATTGGTGTATTTCTAGACTTATCAAAAGCTTCTGACACTGTCCATCATAACATTTACTAAAAAAAATTAGAGTATTACGGAATTTGTGGTACAGCTCTAGACTTATTAAAAAGTTCTCTCTGTAACAGAGAGCAGTGCATATCGTTTAAATCTGTGAATTCCAGCAGTCGGGGAGTCAATGAACCCCACACAAGGCAGTCCTTGTGTGGGGTACCACAAGGTTCTAATTGAGGACCATTGCTATTTCTACTTTACATCAACGACAGATTATAAAGTACCTCAAACAGTACCTCAAACAGTGTTGTATACACACAATAATGTAAATGAAGCAATCCAAAAAAACTAATTTGGAACTTGCTAAAATTAATGAGTGGCTTTAGCAAACAAATTGTGTATTAATGCCCTCAAATCACATTACATAATATTTGGTTCACATCAATTTAAGTATTCACAAAATGTCCACTTGATCTTAAACAATTCGAGGTTGACCCAAGTACAAAATTTCTGGGTGTAACACTGGATGAAAATCATACTTGTAAATGTCACATCGATGAGGTAGCTTTAAACAATACCCAAGAAAATAGGCATTATGAATCGCTTAAGGCTTTGTCTTCTGGATAAGGTTTCATTAAGATTGTATAATTCCTTAATTTACCATATTTGAATTATGCTATTATTACCCGGGGCAGCTCGCCATCTAGATGTAACAGATTTCTTACTCAACAAAAGCGAGTGGTTCGTGTAATTACAAATGCCGGTTCCCGTGATCATTCTGCTCCATTGTTTTCTAAATTAAATCTTTTACAGTGTAATAACCTATATCACCTGAATCTAGCGAAGTTAAAAATTAAGGCATGACCTACTCCCTCCCTGTCATAAAGCCTGTTTTACCTTGACATCAACCATCCATGATTTCAATACACGAAGTAGTTCAAAGGGAAACCTGTACGTCCAGTTTAGCAGGACGTCAATGTCTATCTTTACCCGTCTTTGTAAAGAAACTAAAAACAAATTTTTTCAGAGAAATGTACATAAATTTTCCGAAGTGCTCTTTTAATTAAGCATCTTGTCCTTGTCTCACACTTGTCAGCCGTATGCTATGTTTTGTTTGTCCCTTGACTGTACGTTTTTTGGTCTTCTTTTCTGATTGCCTCCTCGTTGTCTGTCTGTCCATAGGTTAGGGTACAAAAGCATTTGCATGCTTAACCTAACACCAAAATGTTGTCATTTTCTTCTTAATGTTATGTAACAATGATGATATTAATGATATTTATCTGTGACAAATGTACATTTGTGTATCTAATTTGTGTCCACAATGGCAACATTGAATAAATGTCCTCCTCTAAACATATCACCAACAAGCAAGTTTCGCGAGCGGCTAATTTCGAAACCCCAGTTCGCTATCTCCTTAAGAAGATCATGTTTACAACCTTGGAATTACATGCTTACTCATCCCGATCTCTCGGTCAGTGAAGTTTTTTTTAATATGATCCGGAAAGGACTGCTATATATGTAAGTTTCTAAACGATTAATCGGTTTCGTTAAGTTACATATGAATTGTCGTCCTTGTAGTTATTGAGAAATGTTTACTCTAATAACAGAGGAAGAGTTAAACTGAGGTTACCCAGGCTAAATGCGAATGTTAAAAAGAAAAACACAAGGAAAATGATGAAAATTATACGTTACAATTAACATAAAACATAATAAGTAAAAATGACGAAACAAAAAGACAAATAAAATGGGACAACACACATTATGCGTGAAATGAAAGGTGTGTTTCATTTTAGATGAAAATCTGTTTACCGTCACCGAACATCAAACTAAAAATATCAGCGTGGTAAATTGCGAACATCTAAAATGGTTTACTTCACTAGCTGTTAAGAGAGTTTCTCATTGTGCTTGACGTTCTAATATAGACCTTAAGCATAATAATGTCACGCTATGTAATACATCTATTCTTCCTATGAGAACTCGATGAATCGGGTCCCACCTCACCGCCATGGGAATGCGCACATGTAAACAAAAGTGACGTCATTATATGACAGGTCTATCCAAAGTCACAACTGCGATTTCTGTGTCTAAAGTCAATTTTGATTTTTCCTTTTTTTGCAAGAATTACTGCACATTCTTGAAAAAAGAATGTATAGTTTACTGTAAATTCTTAAGTATAATCGACACTTTTCTGAATGACGTGACGTCAAAAAAGTGGTTTAATTTTATATCCTCTTCTTTTACTAGAAAAAGGTATGCAAGGTGCATAATTACTCTCACTTTCCATGACCAATGTTAATCAATCTATTTAATGTTGAAGATCTGTGTAAATGCATACTTTTTTAATTGAATGGAGTTAATACATTTTTATTAAAAACTTACATTTCTGAAAATAAACCATATCAGCAAAAGGGTAAGAATGGACTCAACAGAGGAAGTGACATCAGAAAAGATTAAATCATAACATCTAGGCCTACATAAGAATTAGGGTGCTGTATTATTTACTAAAGTAAATGATGTTCGCATCAGATATGATTGTAAATTAATGTATGAATTTCTGTAAAGAATATATATTGGCTATATTTGTATTCTGATAACAATTAACAGTCCATGCAAGCTTCGTACCCAGAGAACCCGCCTTCAGTAATCTTATGATTCTCCTTTCCAGTCAGAACAGGATCGAAGATACAGATACAGTAGGCGTCTTCGTCATGGTTCTGCAATACGTGACAGTCATGCATATTCATCAGGTAGTTGGTACCATTCTCAAGTTCTGTTTTCGAGGTCTCATGAACCCAATCACCGTTGGTATCATACCACTGATACGTAACTGTCCCTGCAATGAAGTATACACTCTCAATGTGGTTTAAATAGCCTAGTCGGGTAGATGTCTTCGGGTAAACCCAGGTATTGTGAACACCCAAAGGGAAGCCATCTTGTTTTATGAGATATCGCCGACTGTGCCCGTTTCCCCAGTCGGTATCCCTGTCCGTGCCAACTATCTCAGACAGACCTCTTACTACAGCCAGCGATCGGTAGCCCATCTTGGCGTCTGGATAGTAGACTACAAATAGACGCATACCGCTCTCCGCCGACACTGTCAACTCGTAGGTCATATCGAAAGACAGTGCCACCACAGTGTCCGGGCTGACATCTCGTTGATCTCCTCCAGGCTCCCCACACGTTCCTTTCCCACTGATACAGTAATAGATGTGGACACTATTCTCACTCTCAGGTGATCGAAGAGGAACGGTAGACTTGGCTGGAATGCGTGCCTCATATGTCTTGAACTTATCGTAATCCTTGTCATCGGTGAGTTGAACGCCGATGAGGGCGCTATTTGGTAGAGTTATTTCAGGTAGATTGGATGAATGACTCACTTTCATGATGTGTCCTGTAGGAAGCAAAGCAAAATTGACGTGTAGCTCATATTGAATTGAGCGACAGAAATTCCTATGCTGAATCTGCTGTTCCTGACGGGAATTTTAAAACTATGAAATTCCATACCTGCCGTCGCCCGTCGTGCGTCGCCTTTTGCTTTTTGTTGTGTCCCAATTCTGCCATTTCCAAACATGCCATTTTCCGTCGCCCGTCGTGCGTCGCCCGTCGCGCGTCGTGTGTCGCCCGTCGTGCGTCGCCCGTCAAATACGTTGCATAGGACGTGCAAAAGCCGGGGTTTAACAAATGACAATGTGATGATTCTATTCACCTCTAAGGATCTTTTCCCAATAAGGCAAGTATAAATCCCACATGCAAAGCATATACTAGTCCCATAATTTATGCCAATAATGCTAGCTTACCTCTGCCCCTTGACAAGAAAATGTCCCCTTTCTCAGAAACCAACCAAATGTTTTTGTGGGGAAAACACTTTCAACAAAAATGTTCAGACCAAATTATCCACAGTCTAATTCTAATTTGCATACTTTAAAAATGTGCCGACTTGTTTTAATCAAATTCTAGAAAGAAATGTGCCAACCAATACTGATATTTCACTTTGTCCTCTCAATTTCACCTTGAAATCCAGAAATATTAGTCAGTGCTGTGGATAACAAACTGTTTACTAAATGTATTAGGGGGAAATTACCACTTGGTCTAATTTTCACAAAATATGACGTGTTGGTTTTTGTGGGTGTGTATGCCATGGTGGATAGACTAACGAGAACAGGTTGTCCAGCATATCAGCATTAATTATGGGTCTAACTAGTAACGTTACTGTTCAAAAGACTTCTATAAGCCAACCTGCAACTCAGGTCATGTCTAATTTGGAGTATACAGCAGATTTCATCATAGGTATACCTGCCTTCAAAATAATGTTGAATCAATTCGTCTCTTATTCAAAATATTAAGGAATAAAATATTGTAAATAATTTATTATTTACATTCAGTTAGGTGGGATATCGTGCAGGGACAGACAGATATATTACATAGACTATAGGCCTAACGTCAGGCCGTACACGAGTAACTAAATTATCAAGAAAAACAATCTACCCTAACAAAAGTCTATTTTGTTAATTTATTTATGGAACCAAAAATTGGATTTTTTCATATACACGTCACTTTACCGATGTCAGCCTTTAAAAATGAAAGGATATTATTTCTTCTTTCAAGTGGAGTTCGACGCAACTGCAAAAACGAATACATCTTCTAGTTCTACTGCTAAAATGAGTGTCGGGCATGGTGGATCGAACGAACAAGTACATGTGAAACGGTCAAGGGTCAAAGTTAAAAATAACAATGCGCAAGTGTGACCCCCCCCCAAAAAAAAACCCAAGGGCGACGGACGACGGGCGACGGAAAATGGCATGTTTGGAACTGGTAAATGGGAGAGTTAGGACACAACAAAAGGCAAAAGGCGACGGGCAACGGCAGATTTGGAATTCCATAGAAAACAATGAGGCTTGTCATGGCCGAGGGGTCGTGAGTTGACTGGGACCCTGAAGGTTGTTAGGTTACAGATTTGAAAAATAAGTTGCTGAAGACAATAAAAACCCGACTTCAAAAAGATACACATAAAAATAAAGCTCATATTTTCATCTCTCATTTTCTTTTCAGTTTTCGGTGGGTCAACCAATGACTTGTGGAAATATTTTCATAATCCAAGAGGAACACGCGAAAACATGTCTTCCGGTTAACCTCGTTGTAATTTTGAAATACTGACACCACTCCATAGCCATTTAGAGGGCTCTGTTTTGTCAAAATTTGTGAGAAATATTTCATAAACCGCTTCGTTGGGAAAACCCTTGCCACGTAACACATTCTGCAGCAAAGCTGGTCTTTGTAATATCATTCCATGAATCTGTCGATAGGTTGCAAAACTGTTGGGACAAGGGAAGGGATGCTTTCCATATCTGAAAATGCATTAATCTTGCTAACGATCATATGCACGTTTAATCGACGGCATCTCTATGAAAATTCTCCAACTTAAGTCTGTGTTAATTTCTTTTAGTGGGGTAGAAAGTGTAACATCCAACAGGCATCCCGGCCGATTTCCGTGTCCCCTTGAATCTTAAAATAAACACACTCTACACCCTATACACAAGCAGCATTTTATTTATTTTCAATGCCCCACATTTACTCTAGAATTTTTTTACCATAATTACGCCTCGTAAATTTGATGCTTCAAATTTATTGTGAAGACTGAAGGCAGATATTTTGGTATCCTTTATTCTTTTGTCTTATATCTTAAAATAAAAACAAAATACCAATTGACTCACCTGCATGATTTCACGCGGACCTACATGCAAGGCAAAAGTCCCTTTAGCCAGTTAGCCAGGTTAACAAGAATGAAGCAAATACTGTATTCTGAATAACGTGTGATTCAAATGGAACTTACCAGTTGTGATGGGCCCGCTCTATACGTACATAGACCCTTATCAACTGGTGATGCGTGGATCAAACCACCTAAGGTCCAAGTCGCCTTTGCCTTATTTAGATATTGTTATAACGGTCACCATTTGAACTTTGTTCAAATGAGTCACCCCAATAACTGACCCTTTATCGTTAGTACAAGTACATGTTAATATTGAAATACACGAACAGACAGCCTGACGGCAGTTTTTCATAATTGTGGCGACGCGTCACCACGCCTGCCAGCAAGCTGTGCTGATCGAGCTATAAAATAGCTTCATGCTCTGACTAAACCTCGCTGACAGGATATGCACACTAAATTAAACTACGTCACGAACGAAGGACTTGAGTCCTAGGCCTCTCCGTTTGTTGCTGTGAAGGGCCACCCCCCTATTCCTGCCGTTAGGTCAGGGCCGAGGTGCAGTCCCCAAGTATCTGGGGACAAGGAAACCAGTCAGGACTCGTAGTTGCAGATTGATGGGCAATTATTTTATTTTTGACTGTTTGATGTATCCAAGTTTTCTTTGCGGAAGAATGGAATTCCTATACTATAAATTATAGAATGAATAAAGTTGCAGTTGTTTAAACACAGACGAATTAAGAGTTGTTTATTTGGGGATATTAGCTAGACAATTAAATCTACTTTGGATGACCCTTGCCCAGACACGCACGCCTCAATGTGTGTTCATCACGTACACCGCCGTCAGGATAGACTTGAAATCAAGTCGTTGGTCGGATGCGTTTGTCGTCCATGCATGAGCCAGCAGTGCTGAGCCCGTTCACCGGTACGTGCCTGCGATGCAACCAGCGTGACGTGCTGATTGTATGGTGTTCTATTCTATCGCCATTTTGGCGTCGCGTCGTACCGTTGCTCCGACGCCACGACGCGACGGCACGACGTCGTGCCGTCGGGTCGTGCCGTCGCCTCCTTTCTTATTGAGTTCATGCTAAGCTAATTTCGTCGCGTCGTGCCGTCGCGTCGTGCTATTTCATGTTAATGTCGCATCGTGCCGGCGCGTCGTGCCGTCGTATCGTGCCCTCGTGGCGTCGCGTCTTGCCGTCGTGGCGTCGCGTCGTGCCGTCGCGTCGCCCGCCATTGCAAGATTTTATACATTGTGGATTAGGCCGTCGCGTCGTGCCGTCGCGTCGTGCCGTCTCGTTTGTGCTGCTAGCAGCTTTGCATTCTGGGATTGTCAATAAAGGGCGGATGTCGATAGTGAGCTTGTTAATTGAACGATGCAAGATGTCGGGGATTTACACATTGCTCGATTCTCAATTGCCTCTTCTCGTCAATAATATCCTTTTCACAATGTTTAACTTTTTAAATGCATGTTTATAAAATAATTACCGTAATGACACAACTAGCTTCCATTATGTTTATTCGGGGCTTTTTCATGGGT